GCTAAAACAAAAGGGGAGGGGACGCCAGCAGACGCGTTGCAAAATTTCTTATACGTGTATCGAACAACACCGAATGAGACGTTGCCGGAGCGAAAGTCCCCAGCAGAGATCCTAATGGGAAGAAGACTGAAGACAATCCACAGCCTGATGCATCCAAGTAATGCAACTACACCAGTACGGACAAAGTTTGAAAAGCGATCCACGTACGAAGTGGGATGTCCTGTGTTTGCCCGTGATTACAGACCGACTCATAGTCCATGGACAGAAGCGCAAGTGGTCAGAAGAGTTGGCCGAGTCATGTACGAAGTTGAGGTAGGCAGTGACAGGTGGCAACGCCATCGGAATCAGTTACGCAAACGGTTAGCCCCAGACCGCCCATCAACAGAATCAAATATTCCTCTTGACATCCTGCTAGACACATTCAACTTACCGGCAACCCCACCACAAGAAAAACCTCAACAACAAACTGGAACACGTCCAAGACGGTGGCCTATTTGAGAACGGCGAGCAACAGTCAGGATGCAGGTTGACCCCAGGAAAGCCCGCTATTAAAAAGGGGAGGAGTGTTGGGGACGATAGATCCCCAAACTCATATTTTTAAGTTTTATCTTATCGATTAAATGTTAGATATTTTTTATTGGGGTCAATTGATGAACTATCGATTAAATGCGCAAATAGGTCAATTAATGAACTCGTTGATTAATGTTTAAAAATTTCCTATGATAATATCGATTGTAAATAATTGTATAAATACGCTTGATTTGTGCATTTGATTTGACTTGTTATCTACTGTTTGTCTGTAGAATACACTTTCTACACCTTACCCAGACTTCTTGATCAAGTTAGCAGAGTTGGGGACAACGAACCAGAATAGCTATCGAGTCGCTGAATCATTGATCCTTCGTTCCGTTCGAGTAAGACGCATCAGTAATAGCATTCAAGCAATAACGAAACATAACAATTACGCCTAAACTAATAATAATTTTGATGGAGTTTTGTTTTCTGAGCTAGATGGTTTGGTCATGGAGCTTTTATCGTTCTACTGAACAACATTAGAACAAACCTCAGGTAGAAGTGAAGTGTTCGAATTTCTCCACATATGGTTCACAGCTTGTCCTATAAACCTCGATGTTAGCTGATTCTTGTTGACTTTAAACTTTTCATTGTTTACTTTGGTTTTATTGTATCTCCCATCGATTTGATTTTCGGTCCTATGTTTGTGCATAATTTCCCTGATTGGTTAATAAATTGGATCGATTTCAATGTGCTTGTTGATTGACCTGAGTGACAAAATTCTAAAAATTCTCTGATGGTTTTAGCATTGCCTCCATCCAATATTTCCACATTTTTCCAGTCCAATGTGTGTTCGCATTTGTCCACGTGCTTTGATATTAGTAAGGACATGTCATGGCGTTTGACTGCTAATTGATGTTCATGCAGGCTAAATGAAAAGGGCGTCTATTTTGGCCGCTGTAGTGATTTTTGCATTTAGTACAATTTATTTTGTAGATGATGTTCGAATTTTCTTCTTTTGTCATTTTATCATTTGGTTTGCATAGGATTGATTGTAGTGATTTTGTGGGTTTGTGTGCAACACCTATCCTGAAAGGTTTCAACAATCTCGTTGTAGTTTCTGATATACCTTTTATGTATGGTTGAGTGATTCGTTTGTTGGTTTATGTGTTTGACTTTGTTTCTGATGATGCGTGCGGTTGATATTTTTCGATGAAGTTGAATGGGTAGCCGTTCTTTTGAAAGATGGTCTTCAAGAACTTTTCTTTATTTTTTGAGCTGCAAGTGTGTCCCCGCCCTCTTGAACAAAGTTTGTACCTGGTTGATTTTGTGAGCCCTACGGTTGTTTCTACTGTAGTTGAGAATTTGATCTGTGTGGGTCGGCTTCCTATACACTTGTGTCTCCAGTTTTCCTATGTCGATCCTGGTGATTAATACATCTAAGAATTGTCCTTTGTTGTTCGGATTCTTGTCCCACTGTAAACTTGATGTCATCGAAGACGTTATTGATCAGCTTGTAGATGTTTGACGATGATGAATGTGTCGTTCACATAACGAATCCAATTTTTCGGCTTGATCACTGGTAAGATAGAGGCTTCCAGTCTCTGCATCACTGCTTCTGCAGTAAGTCCTGATATTGGTGATTCCATCTATGTTCCCTTCGTTTGTTCGTAGATTTTGTTGTTGAATTGAAAATACTTTGTTAAGCATAAATCGATGAGTTCTAAAGAACTTTGACTTTGAAGCTTCGTGTACTTTGCGAGAAGCAGGAATAGAGTTTCCTTTGCTAAGCTTGGTTCAACTGAGGTAAATAAGACTGTTACATCGAAGGATATGAACAGCTCGTTGTTGTTGATCAGAATGTCTTTAATCTGATCGAGGAATTGTATGGGGGATTTAGTGGGGTGGTTGAATGAATCCACTAAATTTTTCAATATTCGTTTAAGGTCAACAAGATCCAATCAACGTCGAGGCCTACAGGACAAGCTGTGGACCAAATGTGGAGAAATTCAAACACTTCACTTCTAGTAAGCAGTCTTATCTGAATCCGGTCCTCACTTGGAATACATTTGTCAGCTGTCCTCCATGCACGACTTTGAAATGTAGTTCGTAGTATGAGTTCCGGATGATGTTGATAATCTTCTCAGGTACACCATAGTACCTAAGAAGGTTGCACAATGTTTTCCTATCCATGCTGTCAAATGCCTCATAGTCGAAGAGATACACCAAATTGCTAAAGGAAACACCCAAGTATCTGACCTCATTAAATCAGTGTGGTGCTTTATTCTACACTTACTTCATATTCTAACAATCACAATTAGTTCTAATTATGCCTTTGCTAATTCATTATTGTACTTGCAGAGTGTATGCCGATGCAAGAAAAAGAAACGTTATCCACCTTCTAGCTGGTCGTACTTCATTACGTGAACTACCTTTTAATTTAATTACATTTATAAATTCTCAAAGTAACTATCCTAATTCAGGACAGAAAGAATTGTGGAAGTAAGATCATTAACTCGATTGTTTCTTGATTCGATAAAGAAACTTTAAGAATAGGGAAAGTAACCACTAATGATAGAATTTTCAAGCCTGGTTATCCAGTTAGTGATTTCCCACCTCATTTTCACTGCTGATATTATTCTTCCTATTTCGCAAATCGTCTGAGAACTGTACAGGTAACAAATTTGTTACGAAGACAAAAAACGTTGATACAATAGGGCGCTAAGAAATACTCAGTATACAAAACGAAATGACTGCTGTAAACAATTTGAAAACTCATATAATAAATAAAACTAGAATAGTATAAATTAAACGATATAATCTAAGTCACAACATAACCAAGACATTTAAGTCAATGAAAAGAGATATTTAGCTGTTGATGAAGACTTGAAAGCAATGGACAGCCGTTTCATCCTAGTATGGGACTCTTGAGCAGTGCGCATCCACGATCTCAGGCGCGAACGCTTAACCTCTAGATCACTTAGCCAGCGTCAAATGGTACTAATGTTTAACTTCAATCGATCCATGATCTTACACAAACCTTCGCCCATTGTCTGAGGTGGATAATTGTCCCACATCCGACACGGATTGAACTCCATTGGCCCTCCAATGCTTTCAGGTTTTCAACGCTAGTCTGGCTAAGATCGACTAGCGAATTCAACTTTGAAAATATTACAATCTCCACAAATCTCCATACTGTCTATGGAGAATAAAATAACGAATTAAAACAGATCTTACACAAGCTTTTATTCTGAGCTTTATTTGGCAGAGTAACAAAACACAGTTCTAAGATCCTATCCAGGTAATCGTAGCAAACTAACGGATGCTAATTCGATGTGAATATCAGTCATTTCATAGTATCATGTCATAAACTAACCACTTTCCCGTTTCCAATCAAGTACTATGAGTCGGCAAATAATGCGTTTTATAGAGGGCACTACAACAAGAGTAAAACGTAACCAAGCTATCATAGTACGTGTCCCAAAATAGTAGAACATCATCATTTTTTACTATGATTAGGCATTACTGATAGTGTGTTGCCACAGACTACCAGCAATAATTTGGAGATAATGATAATCTACACAGTAGCTGAGGTTATCCAGCTCAGACGTTAAGTATTAAATTCATAAGGAAAAACTCTCACTGTGGTAAGCTACTTATGTCTGTCGACATAAGTAATATGTAACACCAATCGGAAGTGGAAGCCCTGGCAGCAGAAGGCTAAGAAGATAGAGTTGAGGAGAATAACATAGAAAATGGAAAGGAATTGTGAACTTGAAGAATCATACAGAATGTGAAGGAGAAATGATACAAATGGAGTATTCAGTGTATAGTTCTTATATTTTGTCAAGATACTTTATGCTTTGTATTAAAATACATCGGTTGTTCCGACCTATGTTCTCGATCATTACACTACTAAAGCGTTGCACACCAAGTTATTGTAAGCCCCTTCAGTTTTTAGTATACATAAATGATTCACAGCTTCTACTCCGTCACAAGTTCATAAACTTATCCAAATTAACTTCTCTACTGTATCCAATATCTCAGAAGCAAATATTAGACGCTCATCGAATGTTAAACTGATACCCTTGCTACGAACGAGAACACAGGCTGGAACGACCAGTTATTTGGTAAAATATGAACACCATACGTTCAGGACTTCATTTGCAAAATGTCCATCACTTGTCTCGGAGTTTATTGTCCCTTCCTTTCCATACCAATCACTCTGTGTTCCCGTTCTCTTCTATTTAATCTTCTCAACCTTCTGCTGTCAGGCATTCCATTTTCGACTGATGTTACTTATATCTGTCGATATAGGTAGCACACCATACCCTAACACAAATATTCTCAATTTGTTACACAATTACGTCATAGTGTTTTAGGAAATCCACAAAAATAAAACAAAAACAAAAGCTTCTGTAACAGGCCAAGTAACAAACACTATGTTTCAATGTTAGTTAAGATTGAAAGTAAAACTTTTATCTCACTTTAGACTCTCAGCAATAATGGTATAGGAAGGTATCCATTCACAAACTTTTTTCATTAATTCCTTGAATTCCTGGATGTAGAGTAAAACAAATATTAACAAAAAATATCCGCGGAACTGTGTGTAACTAACTAAGTTCTAATGAGGAAAAAATACTAAAGTCATGTAGAATAAAGTGGATACATTTTATTAGCTGGAAACGGTTTAGAGTCAACAGTACTAATACAATTAGTAAAAATTAAATGAAATAGACAGAACGGGTGCGGAACGACTGACAACAAAAAACTATACCAAAGCAAACCATATTTAGTCTTTATTATATTGAATGTCATGTAAATACTGATCTCATATTATGCCATCATCAAATGTCCGTGAACCATACCTTATTTAGAGCATGGTCAGTAAATTCTGTGGCTATTGTTAAACACGTAATTGAGAAAACCAAGAACCTAGTGAAATGATCCAGTAATAAAAGTTCGTAGTATAGTAATAAAAACAGAGCACTGTATTGATAATTTAGTTCATTTGGAAGCAAACGACTAAGATTTATTGCTTCAATAGTTCTTTAAGAGAAACGTTTGTCTTCGGAATTTCTCAACTTAGCAAGCTCCATAAATTTTAGGTATCACCATATTTGACTAATCAAGCTGTGCTTCAAAAACCCACTAATCTCACTTGACAGTGAACACTTTTTATTCTCAGTACAAGGTGACTCTGAACAATGGCCAAACTTCATGGTTTATAATCTAAATCAGAGATTCATAATCTACTGTTATACGTTTATTCTGCACTAAATAAATCTATATTATACAATGTGAGCGTGGATTTGTGGCATATACCCAAACAGTCTGAGGTGGTTGTAAACCATAACAGCGCATTTACCTAACTTAGAATACATCGATTAACCAATATAGACTGATACAAGTAATGCTATAGAGAAAAAATGATCACAAGTTTTCTAGATGTCATTAATTATTATTATCATCATATCACTGGATATTAGATATTACCAGGGTAGGTTTAATGTTTCTGAATACACAAAGGGAACACTTTCGTACCATTCAGGCTTAACGGAACCTAAGTATTCTTCCCGAACTTTGATACAAAATTACAAAGGCTGAGTAGATCGTACGACACATTTTCCTGAGTATTCAATCACTTTTTCAATTTTCAAATTGTTTAGTCGACCCTCATTTCGCATATAAAAATAGCGTAAGAAGTTAACATATGATCAGACTGTTCGAAGTGAGTTGCGCTAATCTATCACAGTTTCGATAGTCTTCCTCTTCTCAGTTGGATCATTTAAACTTATAGAAGGTATTCGCTGTTTTAAATTAGACCTTGAAAACTTCTTACATAGCTATTTTCAAACTGAACTATCTCAGCTGCATCAGAAAGACTGATATCGATACTTAGGACTGAAAGCTGGTTTGTTCTCTGCCACAGTAGGTTGTTGCAGATGGTATCCGGTCAAAGGACATTGAGTATCTTGTGTAGACAATTGTTTATAAGTAATTTTACTTTATTGATGACGGTTTTAGTAGTTCTCCAAGTTTCAGTTATATATAGTTGAACTGTATTGACGTTCATATTGAAGATTCTGACTTTGACATTGGTTGACAGTTGTTTTGAGTTTCATATGTTCTTCAATTGTAGGGATGCTGCACTTGCTTTGCCAATTCTCGACTTTACGTCTGCATCAGATACCCCACGTTCATCGATGACGCTTCCCATGTACGTGAAAGGTTCCACCTCTTCCAGTCTTCTCCATCAAGTATGACTAGTTTGGTGTTCTCCGTGCAGTATTTGAGAATCTTGCTTTTTCCTTCGTGTATGTTGAGGCCTACTAATGCAGAGGCTGCTGCTACACTAGTTGACTTTATCTGCATTTGTTCGTGTATATGAGTCCAAATCTTTTAATTGATTCCCGACCGTTGTTGCTACCTTGATGTGGTGGTCGGGCTTGCCTATCATGATGAAGCAAACGAGCTATACTGGCTATAACAACCGTTTCTCAAGGTCCTACCATATCACACAGGTCGATTGAAGAACGGTAGGACTCCGATCCTTACTTGGAATGTATTTGTAAGCCGTCGCCCATGCACGACTTTGCAGTGTAGTTCGTCTTATGATTTCCGGATGATGTTGACAATTATCTTAGATACACCATAGTGTCGAAGAAGCTTCCATAAGGTCCTCCTGTCCACACTACCAAACGCTTTGTCATAGTCAGTGAAGTTGGTGTATATTGAAGAGTTCCATTTAAACGATTGTTCAACTATTTATTATTATTATTATTATTATTATTATTATTTGAACATATAAATATTGGCACAAGGGGTCATCAGATAAATACGCGCCACACAATAATAATGAGAATGGGAAGAGAAAAAGAATGTAAGACGTGTTTAAGAAGAAAAAAAACAATAACGACCACAAATCAGTGTATGGTAGTGAAACAATAATAATAATAATAATAATAATAATAATAATAATAATAATAATAATGGGGGTAGCGGAGAGAGGAAGGGCGGCCCCCTCCACTCTCGGCCGTACCAGGGCATTTAGGGAGCACTAAGGATAATCGTTGAACAACCAACGATGATCCGTAGTGTTACAATTTGGTTTGTGCACGACCGATCCTTACGGAACTAGGCCTGTTGATCTCGAAGTTGGGCGTCTACTGTCTTTCATCCGGTTCAGCAACACTCTGTTGAAAACTTTTCCTGGTACTGTTAGTAAGGTTATGCGTCTGTATTTTTCACACTTGCTCAGATCTCCTTTCTTTTGTATCTTGATGAGGTGTCCTTCTTTCCAGTCTGTCCGTGGCACTTGATCATCCTCCCAAATCATCCTGAATAGAACGTGGAGCATGTTTACAGTTACTTCTACATGTGATTTCAGAGCTTCACCTGGTATATTGTCAGGTCATGCTGATTTCCCTCTCTTGATTTGTCTGGTGGCCATCCTGATTGTTTTCGACCGTTGGTGGAGTGACAGCTATAGGAAGGTCTGTGTGTTGCTTCGATGTTTGGTGGATTCAATGGAAATGGTTTATTCAAGAATTCCTCAAAAGGTTCCACCCATCTGTTCCTCCGTTCTCGAACCTCGGTGATTATCTTGCCTTCTTTGTTCTTGACCGGTCTCTCTGGTTTACCGCATTTCCCTGCTAGTTTCTTCGTTTTATCATACAGCTGTCTCATGTTTCCTCCTCTTGAAGCTTTTTCCGCTATCGTTGCCAGCTCTTCCACTTATTTCTGCTTGTCGGCTCTAATGCTTTTCTTCACTTGTTTGTTTGCTCCGGTGTATTTGGTCTGTGCCTTGACTTTCTCTACTCTTGTTCGGCTGTTGTTAATTGCTATCTTCTTGCTCTTCTTTTCTTGAATCTAGTCCATGGTTTCGATAGAAATCCATTGCTTATGATGATGCTTCTTGAGATCCAGCACCTCATGACACGTTGAAGTTGGTGGTTCTTTGATTCCTTTAGTAGTTTCTTCTTCTTTCAATAGATCCTGTAATGCTTGGAACCTATTTTTGATATTTGTATCGAATTCGTTGAGTTTTTTTAGTAGTACTAATTACAGCCTGTTTTTAATTGAGACAATAAGATATGGTTTGGGCTGAATTCAAATGATGGAATACCTTGATAGGGAGATTACTGTACTTAATCATATCTGTTATTCCAAGTATAAACGTTGCATCATGAAAAACATAACACAGTTACTTACTATATGCATTTGGATAATTGGGGTATTGATTGGTAACGTTTTCAAACTACTAATTTTCCTCTTCAAAATGTTTATACAAATAGGACATATACGCAACTCATAACCTAAACAACAGAATAATGAAGATAATTCTAAAATAAAAAGGAAACTGAAAAGTTATTTATGTAACCGGTCAATCACCGATGAGCAATTGGCAGCTAGTAATAAACAAATTCAGAACATTTATCCTAGAGACTTTATCTGAGATACTGAATGACATGGCTCAAAATCGTTTGCAATGGCACTGAAACATCCACTCTTTGTGTCCTCCCAAATTCTAATCTCCTGAATTCTCCTTGTCTCTTTTTTTCTCTTTCCAAATTTATTTCACTGGATTATACTCCTTTAGCAACATCTTCAAACCCTAATCTTTCTGATTACTGCTTATACTATTTCTACCTCTACCATTATAGGATTTGAATCAACAATTGTATCTCTCTGTGCTAATGTTGTATGGTAACTAGAACTGATGTACGCGCGTACGAAGTTCTACGTTGTTGACTGACTGACTGATCCTAGATGATAGGAAAATTTGACAATTTACTCTAATCGTCACCGATTTTACATTATACGACGAAAACGATCGGCATATTACGTTACTTGATTTTGTATTCTCAGGAAGCATTACAGGTGTTCATGACAGAGATTATAATGAAAATATAAGAATAGATCTATTTTAATTTTTCACTCTGCGCTATACAAGAAATCTGACTGAAAACCTTATCTTTCAGATTAAAGGTTGATGCTGATATAAAGAGCAACGTCTCAATTCACTAAAGAGTGGAGGATCTTCAAAACTGATATCCTACAAGTGTTCAGGATGTCTTGTCATATTTATTTTGTCAACAACTTCTATATAAGTATATTTTGTTAGATAGGAATCTATATTTCTGGCCAATATAGTGAACAAAGAACTAAGGTGAGGAAGCTCAGCTTATTATTAATGAACAACCACATAGTAGTTTAGTAGTGTGAAAACCATCCATCAAGCACACCATTTGCACATCTTCGAATTTATCACTTAGAAGCTTCATTGTTCCTTCATTATTGATGTTATCTTGATTGCCTTCAGTTTCCATCTCTCTTCTCTTCATTGCAATATTGTCAACCTTCTGCTCACAAACACTCCCCTCCGACTGGTGTTACATACTACTTATATCTGCAAGCATAAGTAGCATACACCACATCAGTAGTCTCGTTTTTTTATCTCAAATCGTTCGGGGGTTTATGTCGATAATTCGTTCTCGTGAGTGACCATCACTATGCCGCAGCATTCTTTTGGTTCATCATAGAATCCTATAAGTTGGGGACTTGCTTTTGACGTATACCTACTTATTATTCTAATTATCTACACAAACATCAAATATGAAATAACTTCAGAAACAGCACATTTTAATCCATTGTTTTTCGAAATAAATGAGCTTAATTTCGGGGATGATTACGGAATTCAAGCCAATGTATACACGCATGATCTGGCTGAGTAAGTAAAACTAACAGGATTCCGAGCCTTCGAATTCACAAATTCATGGTCAATAGTCTTGAAAAATTTAATACAAATGATCTTAGCACGAAGATCATACAGAAAACTCCAGTAAAGTTCAGTCTTTATCCCAAGTTAACGTTTATGGTCCTATAAACATGTTCAATAAAGTATCAGAATAATAAAATACCCACTAAATATTTAGATTTAGAAAATATTTACAACACAATTGTATCTCACTTGTTTTAAGTAAAAGCATCTCACTAAAATACATTTGTACTGAAACTTTCAGTCACTTAGTCCAAACGTTGAATTTATCATAGATGTGCTTGGTTATACTTTGGACCTGAAGTACTGGGAAGCGATCAAAACAATGTCTTCCTGGAAATGATTCATACCTAACAAGAACTAATAACTTGCTATGCGGAAAATCAGTTAACTGATAACTATAGTTAAATCGAAATCACTTACCGTTTCGGGAGGTAGAAATATTTCCTTCTCGAAAAATAACTTCTGATTCCAGTAAGTAATTTGGATGATCATTAGTATCAGATGCATTCGAAGGAACCGGAAAAAGATATAAATCTTGTCCGTTAAGAGCATGTAGAAGACCACGAGCATTACGTATAGAAATAAAATAACTGCAGTCGGCACACAAAACATATCCACATAAACGACAATGATGTCGCCTGCGGTATACAGGATTATAGTCCAGAATAGCGTTTGTTAAACGAGTGACACTAATTTTGTTAGGCCAAAACCTAGAAATGCTTGCATTGTTTTCTGTGGAGTTCAAGTACACGTCATCTTCATCTGGGAAAGCTATTTCAGCGCCTAAACCAAATCCCTTACCACAGCATGGACAAAGGTCTACTTTTGCATCAATCCACGGTACAATGGCTTGTTCAAATACTGAAAATAAATAAATTCATCGTGAAGTTTTTACCTTTTCGGTCACTTTCATGTGTTTCTGCTACGTCAATTAATTTTTCCAAACGTATTAACAAACGGTTTGTTTCTAATGAACTGCGATTAACATGATTTTTCCGCAACTGTATGAATTTCGACGTCAGAGACTGATAAACGCCTGTAACCTAAAATGAATATTTAAAAAGCTTACCAATTGATTGAATTTCATTCTTTCGATCGTAAAATGCAGTTGAGGTATTTGGATCTGCTTGTGTCTTGAGTACAGGATTAGTTACAGATAAGCATTCTACCAACAGCTATCAAGGTTAGAATAACTCAAACCTCCATTTTCTGGGATATTGATACTTCGATGTTCTACTTTGAAATGTTGACTCAATAAATCAGGAGTTCCAAACGTAACCATACATTTTGGACATATAAATCCTTCTAATATTGTTTCGTCAAATGGATTAGCCATATGACGTACAGGAAAAAGACATCTACATATGCTCTTTTATCATCTAACATAAAATATCTTAATAACAACTACAAGGCAAAATAAATCGACAGGTATGATGAAATTTATGACTAACTGATATCACATATTTTAAAATTTGGACATTTTAACGTTGCTCTAAAAGTAAATAGCACCAACGATAGAACAAGATTTCAAGCACAAAAAGAACTTCATAATTATGTCATGCTCACTAAAATAACTTGTTTACCGCAGATGCAGTTGATTTGGGAAACTAGACGAAGAGCAATGAGTAAGTAAGTTCATACAACAAAGCATCTATGATATTAGATGATTGAATTATATAAAGAAGTGATAAATAACATTCACCTGCAGTTTGTGCTGATGATGTCGTTCAGAAGAACGATGAAAGCCCCACGACTAAACCATCCAGCTCAGAGAACAAAACTCCATCAAAAACGTAACAATCATCTCCAAAGGCCTATTACAATCAAAATTATGTATAATGTATCTGCTATGTGATTAATAGCCTAACATCCTCCCTTCACTTAACAATGCTCTTGTATCCATGTCGTTATCTTGCCATTGACTCACCAAAACCTATGAGACTTCACAAGTAAATTAAGTGGTCAGGATGACCAAATAATCCGTTGTATTTTGACTGGCTACTGATGCAGACCGGATTTGAAGCAATATCTTGGATTTATGTAGAAAAGACAACATCAATCAGTCAGTCAGCTATAACGAAGGACCAGGTACACATGTGCATCGGTTCAAGTTTCCATACCTCATTAGCACAACAAGATGAATACCGGATTCATAGAAGTAGTGGTGGTAATATGTAAAAGAAAGATTGTATATAAGAACATAGTACAGGAACAAAGAATTAGTTCGTAGAAAGAAAGATATGAAGCGATTTTAATCTCTTAGCTTAAGGGAAGATAGAGAGTGTATACACCTACGCCACTGTGATCGATTCTGAGCCCGACCGTTGTTGCTACCTTGACGTGGTGGACCAACACATGGTATAAGGGGGCACCAGATACATATGCGCCACACAAATTTCATCTAATTTATGTGAGGGCTGTGATACTGTCCAGGTGCCCAAACCGAAGCAGGTGGTTTTCTTAGGGGGCCACACTCGGAGCGACGTGAGGAGATGCAGTCCTATGGTAGACTTTGACCAATAATCGGTTCATACTCCATTTGTTTCTTTAGGATACTGAAGCAGTGAATAGGACTTCCCTGGCCGTGGCTATATACCCGTGGCCATGTGAGAGCACTTCGAGAGGGAAGCGGACCCCCCCCCACTCGGCCGTACCAGGGCATTCGGGGGTCGGGCTTGCCTATCTTGATGGATCGATTAAGCTATTCTGGCTGGAACAGTCGTTCCTCAAGGTCCCACCATGCCCAACAGGTCGGTTGAAGAGCGGTAAGACTAAAAGCAGCAAAACCAAGGTTTGAGTGTGAAGTCGTACTGCTGACTGTACAAAAGTGTGACGGCAGTTAGGTGTTTCCTTCAGACAACCAGCATAACAGCGATGCTGCCTTCCCACAAGGAATGGTAGGGTTAGAAAAGGTCCACCGTAAAAATGTACACCTCGCCTTATCCCACGGATATCCGTCCTCGGCAGTAAGGTCTCAACAAGTACGGAGCTAACACGAAAATTAATCATAAAAGACAACATCCCAAACATTCATGTACTGTTATTTAGGCAACCCTATATTTTGCCAGTGTAAGAACTATTATCTTCTCACTTTGAGCCTATACGTTTCTAGGCAGAAAACAAATCTTTAAAATGTCTGTACTAAAACTGAACCCAGAAGAACAGTTGATGTAATCAGTTTAAATGACAAATCAAATAGAACTTTGGCGAGACAAATAATGTCCGATTGAGAGACCTTTGGTACGTTAATGCACCTCTTAATGAACGTTCCTGATAGGACCTGTTGATTTATAGATTCATATGGGGCCTTAAGGTCAGTAAATATGATTACGGCTGGGCACTAGCAAATACGTAGATGTTTCAGAACCTGCAAAAATTTAAAAGAAAAGCGGTCAAATCTCTCAGCCTCTTTGCATCGTTTTACTTAGTGAAGTCTACCTCCATGATGGTTGCATACTCAAACATGTTTTGTAGAGCCAAATAAATTCTGGAAAAAATCATCACCTTATCTTAACTTGTTTTAACGAGAATTACCATAAATATACGTCTAAATTCTACAGAAAAAAATTTAGAAAGGCCAACAATATACTGGTATCAGAAGTGATTTTGTTCACAATGAATGCTATTACAGTAAACTTACATAAAGTCAGAACGATGATATGCACTCACTACTCTTGTCTAGTAATATTCCAGGAACAAACACAAACCAGTTTAAGGAGTGAATATCATCAGTGTTAAAAAACTGAACCACTTCGCAGGTGTTTCGTAATTTGATATGATAAACGGCTAACATGCTCTTAGTGTAGGTATGACCTTAACAGTTATACATGTAGATCGGCGTTATTTAGTCGCAGAATTATTGTAAATACGGGAAATAAAACGTGTAGAATTTACAAAATGCATCATATACTATGAACTCGAGATCAAAAATACGGGATCGACATACTTTTAACACATAAACTGCATAAATAACACGGAAGCTGAATAAAATATATTATTGGTTCCACCGTTTTATCGTAGCCAATATAAACTATTTTCTGCCCATAAACATTGAAGCTGTCTAGTGGCCGGTCTACGAAAAAGCTGAACACCACAAGTCATGGACCTGTTCGGCGAAAAAATTGGGTCACGATAACATGACCACAAAGTTAGTGAACGATCTACTTCACAAAACTCCATTTGACATAGTTATTAAAAAATGAACATATGGGGCACTAATTAGTAACTGCGACAGTTTACATTTCGTAGCAAATAGCTTTCCATTATGCTCAGGTGGTTTTTGAGGAAAAAATACACAAATAGCAAGCGAACTAAGTGAAGCTAAATATTACACACGAAATTTCCCAAGCAGAAGGCCCCAACTTTTATGTAGTATTTGGAACAACTTTAAGTGACGTGTAAGGAACCAACAAATGGTAAGGATGAAACCTTTTATTGAAAATACATTTTGTTTCCTTGACCTTTCAGTGGAAAACAACTCATAAGCATACTCATATGACAGTATTCACAAATCACACTGAGAAATACCGGTTCCACATCAATGCTTTCAAAAAGAGACTACGAAGCAAGAATACGCAGATGTTTTAAAGGTGATACTGCCGATAAAATAAGTGCTACATCGGTACAGAATACATCCATCAAGACACTTCTGGCAATCTAACCTTCAAGTCAACCTTCACTTTATACCTTGCACGATTCCACTCATTTTCAACAAACAATTAGTATAGATTCTAGGAACAGGTTTCTGATTTTTGGGCAGTGCACAGGAAACCTGCGGAGGTAAATGAACCCTCAAAATAGGTGGTTCTGTGAGTCTCGGACATATAAAAAAGGAATTGGGGGTGGAGTAGCCATATACATAAGCTCTTGATTGGAGGTGCACGAAGTTCACAACCTCGAGTTTAACAGTCTTGAGGAATCCATATGGTGCTCTGTTATATTGCCAAGTACTTCGAGGTGTCTAGTCGGAGTCATTTACAGGAAGCCAGCTGCCGACATCGAGTAGGATAGTCGTATGCTGAAAGGAATATCCCGCTCTACTCGTCTCGGTTTCACGCACATTCTGATTCTAAGGGGCTTTAATTTCCCTAGAGTCAACTTCGCGGAACACATGTACACTGGAAGCGACAACTCAACTGAAGCTCGGTTCTTCAACCTCATCGATAACTTGGGCTTATATGAAAATGTGAGGTCGGCAACTCGTTGGAGAAACAGTCAGACACCATCGCGCTTAGACTGTATTCACTAACGAAGAATTCCTAGTCGACAACCTCTCAATCCTGGCTCCTCTGGGAAAGAGCGATCATGCCGTCATAGCCTTCAGTTTTGTCATCAAAACTAAGCTAAGGTATCCCAACAATAATTTGCGTTGGAATTTTAAACGGCTGAATGTGCCAGCTCTACATGACTATCTACAACAGGTGGTTTGGGATGTTCACCCTCAACTCGATGTAGATGGTCATTGGGACTTCTTACTGCACACGCTCTTATGTGCTACAGACCATTCAGTTCCTCAAACGGTTCCCAAAAGCTGCAAGCCACCTACAGTAATCAAGAACCGTACCCTTCGCCTCCTAAGCCGCAAACGGCACTGTTGGGCGGAATACAAACGAACTAATAACGATGGAGCGTATAGGCAATACAAACATATCAGGAACACATGCACGAAGGCTATAAGAAAAGACAGGCTTCAGTACCAAACAAAGCTTATGGACAAATTCGCCTCTAACCCTAGAAGCCTATTCCGTTATGCAGCCTCTCTTCGTCAAGCCAAAACAGGAGTTTCTCAACTGGTAGGTCTTAACGGCCCGACCAACAACGATGGCGACGCCGCTAATCTTCTGGCGGCACATTACTCTCAAACATTTCAACCGGCTGACATCAACTTTACTGACGACAGTTTCATCTGCGATTCCACAGGACTCTCCGAAGTGAACCTAAGCGCTGACTTGGTGTTCCGTAAATTGTAGCACTTAAGACTAAATACTTCTCCTGGCCCGAATATGGTTTATCCTGCCATACTGAGGGAGGCAGCCTCAAACCTGGCAACGCCGCTTAGCGTGATATTTTCACACTCGCTAAGCCGAGGCAAATTTCCGGAAAATTGGAAGTTGGCTCACTTCACACCAATTTTCAAAGGAGGTCGACGCAATGAACCTTCAAGTTATCGGCCGGTGGCTCTTCTGTCATTACCTTCAAAACTCATGGAGTCCCTGATATGCGACGGTTTAAACGACTATCTACTGTCCTTAAATTTCTTCTCACTCCAACAGCATGGTTTCAGGAAGGGGTACTCTTGTATAACCAACCTGCTGACTGCGGTTGACAGATGGACAAGCATCCTCGATCGCAAGGGAAAGGTTGATATCATTTACCTTGATTTCTCAAAAGCTTTTGATGAGGTTAATCATACATGTCTTATCAATAAGCTCAAACGATTGGGTATCAGACCACCTCTAATCGATTGGCTTACTTCATACCTAAAAAATCGACACTTTAAGGTTAGAGTTAATTTCACTTTATCTCAGGCTATGGAATGTCCTAGTGGGGTTCCCAGGGCTCAGTACTAGGACCTCTTCTCTTCTTGATCTACATAAATGATCTTCCTCAACAGGTAACGTCAGACTTATTACTTTTTGCCGACGACGTGAAACTTTGGAGAGAGATACGCAACCAATACGGTATACAGGCACTTCAGGAGGATCTGACGCGACTTCAAAGTTGGGCAGACGATAACGGATTTACCTTTAACACTTCAAAGTGTAAAGTAGTCCATCTGCGACATGTCGCAAACTACAGTTACAACTTAGGAAACTCCTCTCTAGTAGTATCCCAAGTCGAGAAAGATTTGGGAGTCCTGGTGCCCCATGACTTAAAGTCTTACGCTAACTGTGACAAAAATACTTTTCGAGTAAACCTTGCACTGGTAACATTGAAGCGCATTTTTGGCCAGTTTGACGGAAGCACTTTCCATATAATCTTCAATAGTTTCATCCGTCCCCATTTAGAGTACGGAAACATAGTACTCCCCCCTCACTCCAAAAGGACAAGGTCACTTTGGAGCGTATCCAACGGCGAGCCACGAAATCAGTTCGAGGACTCAAATCTAAAACTTACGTAGAAAGCCTGCATTCAGTAGACCTTTACCCATTAGAGTATAGGCGTTTTAGAGGTGATTTATTAATGGCTCATAGTATTCTTAACACTTCTGGACATCCTCTCAAACACTTACTTAAGCTTAGTTCGAATAATAACCTAAGGGGTAACACTCAGAAACTGGAAACGCAACATAGCAAGATGGAATGTAGACACAACTTCTACTCCTTAAGAGTTGTCAAAAGCTGGAATTCGCTGCCGGCCGAGCTAGTCCAAGCGACTTCTCAGGAGTTCTTCAAGAGGCAACATGACCTATTCTTAAGGACCAAGGACAGCATCACACTATGATTTATCAATTTCATTTCCTCTTTTATTGTTAACATACGTAGGTTCCTGCCTGGAGGATTTGGTGATCCCCTGCTACTAGACACGGAAGCCTGTTAAGCGAAAGCTTCTTCTATTCCGTCCACAACCATTTGAACCATTTTGAATGCTGAATGCGCCCTAATAGAAGGCATCCGAATATGTATCCTAATCATATCATCATATCCATTTCAACTGGTGGTCTGAAGACACAGCCATTCGCACGAATCACAACTTATGTGGTTGACCGAATCTTTTTCAAACCGAAACTGTCAATATCGCCTTTATCTCAACACTGAAAGCATTTTGCACCAATGTCGTTGACAAGAGATAGAAGTAACACTCTTGGTTTTTTACGTTCTCTTCTATATTTTTCGGTTCGATTCTGGAACGTTTATACAGCATTCGATATTTGCTATACTGTAGAGACAACTTCTTCGTGCCAACTTCACTATCGGTCTGTAGTCTACGACTCTTACTGATCGTAACAACAATCATCGGTTTTTCAAACTGTAACTACGAAGTGATCAATAACTTCGTTCAACGAAATCACTTCTTTTCAAGATTATATTTTTGTACCTTCACCTGATCTGCTATGCATAGACATAAATGGAATTCGTAAGTTACAAACAGAAGCTATCAACCACACTGTCTGACTTTCCTTTTTAAGTCAATGGAAGTGTAGACCAACAGGCAGGATTCCGTAAGGATAGATCGTGTACAGACCAAATGGCAACTCTACGGATCATTGTGGAACAATCAATTGAATGGAATTCATCACTCTACATCAACTTCATTGACTACGAAAAGGCATTTGACAGCGTGGACAGAACAACACTATGGAAACTTCTTCGACACTACGGCGTGCCTCAGAAGATAGTCAATATCATACAGAACTCATATGATGGATAACACTGCAAAATTGTGCATGGAGGACAGTTGAAAAAGTCGTTCGAAGTGAAGACCAGTGTTAGGCAAGGTTGCTTTCTCTCACCCTTTCACTTTCTCCTGGTGATTGACTGGATCATAGAGACGTCAACATCTGAAGGAAAGCACGGGATACAGTGGAAATCTAGGACGCAGCTGGACGATCTAAACTTTGCAGATGATCTGGCCCTTCTATCACAAACGCAACAAAAAATGCAGGAGAAGACGAACAGTGTGGCAGCAGCCTCAGCAGCAGTAGGTCTCAATATACCCAACAGGAAAAGCAAGATTCTCCGATACAACACAGCATGCACTAATCCAATCAAAATTGACGGAGACGATTTGGAAGATGTAAAAACCTTTACATATTTGGGCAGCACCATTGATCAACGGGGTGGATCTGATGCAGATGTGAGGGCGCGGATCGGCAAAGCAAGAGCAGCATATTTACAACTGAGGAACATCTGGAGCTCAAAGCAACTGTCAACCAACACCAAGGTCAGGATTTTCAATACAAATGTCAAGACAGTTCTACTGTATGGATCGGAAACCTAGAGAACTACAAAAACCATCGTCCAGAAGATACAGGTGTTTATTAACAGCTATCTACGCAAAATACCTCGGATCCGTTGGCCAGACACTATCAGCAACAACGTACTGTGGGAGAGAACAAACCAGATCCCAATGGAGGAAGAAATCAGAAAGAAGCGCTGGAAGTGGATAGGACACACATTGAGGAAAGCACCCAACTGCGTCACAAGACAAGCCCTCACATGGAATCCTGAAGGTCAAATGAAAAGAGGAAGACCAAAGAACACATTAAGCCGAGAAATGAAAGTAGACATGAAAAAAATGAACAAGAATTGGATGGAACTAGAAAAGAAGGCCCAGGACAGAGTGGGTTGGAGAATGCTGGTGGGGGCCTATGCTCCATTGGGAGTAATAGGCGTAAGTAAGTAAGGAAGTGTAGACAACGATTGATAACACACTAATAGTGCAGTGAACAAGAACACAAGTGGGGACAATAGAATGTATTTGAACACAAAACTACAGAACATCTTAATAAAATTTGCGAACCTTACAGTTAGCACTTAATTTGAAAAATGCCAATCAATTGTCTCAAACATGATTGTTCGGTTTGCATATATCCGTCAGTTGTCTCATACTTGATTATTCCTGCATTTCCATGTTCTTGACCTTCTGACGCCAGACATTTTATTCCTGACTGGCGTTACATACTGCTTGTACGATATAAGTAGTAGTATCACTACTCTTGCGGCGAACTTTACGTTGCTCATTTGA